TAGAAACTGACCAAACATGATGTCACTCTGACGTCATTTCCGGCCGTTCTGTCGTGGTCTACAAATTGCATTATTTTCAGAATGTGCTAAAATAATGTTGAAAGCGGTAAGTAAGGTTTGGTCGCCTTTTAGCCTTCGTTTAGAAGATGTGGTGGAAATGGGATAAAGGGGACTTTCGCCCCCCTCGGGGCGCGGCCAGAGTGCTTCCCCATAGGATGTTTGCGATCATCTCGGCAAGGGTAAATAAAACTGGCCTAATCTTAGTACAGAATCGCAGTTAAACTTTGCACACCCTGAAGGCTGAAGGCAGACACATTTTCCCCTTGACGAATATTGGCGAATTGCGATTGAAGGTGCAAATATTTGTGACATTTTCTGAATGCTGATAGACAGGAGCACAAAACTTCGGTGCAATTTTTTTCTCACCCATTTGACATAGTGCGGACAAACGTTTCTGTCAAGACTCAAGGTCGCCGATTACTCGCATGACGAAATTGGTAGTTTCCAAGATCGACAATTGCTGACTGCAGCAGTATATCAACAATCACTGAATGATGAATATTTTGGCTATTGACCTGAATTAAGCGAACTAGGCAAGTTTCAAGTTTCACTGCGCTGTTCATCGAACAAGGTGTATGCAAACGCACACGCTAAAAAAAAAGAAGAGTGTATTCCCTCCCGCTCTTCCGCACAAACAGGGACAAACGTCAAAGAGCAACTTCATACGAAGTGATCGTAATTCGTACATCAACTTGCACTCTTAATTAATGATTCTTTGTGAACACGTTATCACACCTATTTAGAAGCTCCATACCATGCAATTCCTCTAATGCCGCGGCATGAATCAGCACTGCCAGTAGTACTGAACAGCACTGATCACTTGAGCAGTCTCTGCTCCGTCTCGGCCGTCCTGTGGCAGGGCGGGGCTCCTCGCGCCACACAAGGACGCGCCGCCCCATGCCGCCCGTATAAAAGGCCCGCCGCCGCCTCGGCAGGCATCCAGTCGGAGTCCTCTGTCTGATCACAACATGAAGGCCTTTGTAAGTACTGTGGCGAGCGTGGGTAGATCGACTTTTTAGTTGTATGTAACTTACTAAATGCTTTCAGTAGCTACTAGCTAGAGTAATTTTCCTGCTATCATACGGTCTCTCTAACTACCAATTATTTTTTTTTGTGCATTTCTCGACAGTCCCCAAACAACAATTATCAAAATCTTTGACGAATTTGAATAGCATACAAAATCTGCAGTAACAAAGAGTGCTGTTACTGATCGACGTTTGCTTTGTTTGCAGGTGATTGCCGCACTAGCTGTGGTGGCATCTGCTGCCCCTGGCAACTATGCTGCTCTCAGGAGTGCGGCTCTCCCCATCGGTCTGGGTGCCATCGCTGCCCCGGCTGTCGAGCACAAGGCCATCAAGGTCGAGAAGGTCGAAGGCGTGCCTGTGACCACCTACGCCGCGCCCGCCTACGGCTATGGCTACGCCGCGCCCGCCTACGGCTACGGCTACGCCGGCTTCGCCCCGGCGGCCGTGGCTGTCAAGGCTGCTGCTCCCGCTGAGGTTAAGACCATCAAGATCGACGATGCTAAGCCCGTGGCTCTGAGCTACGCCGCCCCCGCCTACGGCTACGGCTACGCCGCCCCCGCCCACGGCTACGCCCCGGCTCCGGTTGCCGTCAAGGCTGTTGCCCCCGCCGAGGTGAAGACCATCAAGGTTGAGGATGTCAAGCCGGTGGCGTACGCGGCGGCGCCGGCCGTCGCCTACTCGGCGCCGACCGTGGTGCGTCAGGAGGTGGAGATCCCCGTCACCAAGACGGTGCACTACGCCGACGAGCAGGTCGTCACCGGACACACGACCAACATCATCAAGCCGGCCATCGCCGCCCCGGCCATCGCCGCGCCCCGCACCCTGGTCGGCAAGACCGTCACCAACCCGGCCACCGTCAGCGTGCGCAAGTACGCCGCCGAGGTCAAGACCGTCAACCCGGTGCCGGCGCCCTATGACGTGCCCTACGACGTGCCCCAGCCGTACGCCGTGCCCACGCCCGTGCACACGGCTCCCGTCGAGGTGAGGAAGCGCGTGTACGCCGCGCCCGCCTACGCCGCCCCTGCCTACACCAGCGTGGTCGCCGCTCCCGCCCCCGTGGCCGTCAAGGCCGCCCCGGTCGAGGTCAAAGCCTGGTAAACTGACCTGACCTCTCGATCCTGACATCAGCTCGGACCGGCGGACGGTCGGCGCGGCTGGTCTCTGTTGGTGTGTGACGAGATGTGCTGTGGTTTGTATGGTGTTGTGTGCTTGGCGTGCGTTCAGGTCAGCGATTGGCGCCCACTCATGTTGTGATCATCTCTTTCAATACATCCATTTGTCATCAGGATAGCGTGATATGGATTACGGAAGAGGCTGAGAGGAAAAGTAGTTCATAGGTCTTAACATTAAAAATGAAGTTTATTAAGAAGACATGCGAAAAATATGATAACATCCATACTAAATAACTGGATTTAAAAGGCATTAAAATGGCCTACCCCCAATGATGGTACCTAAAGTTGGTCTCCTCCCAAAAAAACTTCGCAATTTTCTTGACCCTCGCCGGCACAGGCCATTTTGCGTCCTTCGACGGCCCAAAGGCTTGGCATGACCCCCCGCGTTTGGCCCCTGATCGAGCTAGAGCATCGAGGAAGAAACGAGCGTGCTGCCCGTCACGAGAGGAAGCCGATGATACCCAATTTTAAGGTCCTAGGTCTTCGGTTGACCTTCCAAGTTCCAGGTCAGGTCAATGACCAAAAAGTCGGGAAAATCAGGACCTGTTAGAAAGTCGTAAGGCGTGGCTGCTATGGGGTTTTCGGGGTGCTGGTCACGTGTATACTCGTATCGTGTTAGTTTTGATCACAGATGATATCTTTAAGCATTGAAATGGTTGCTAAATTTGACTTCAGCTCCAAAAACTAGCCTAGAAACATGTAAAACTCGAAAAAGTGGACCGAGGTCACCAAAGGTCAATGACCTGATCTGACCTTCAGGTGACCTTGACATCCTTCCTAATGCATGGGAACAACATCAAATCATATGTATGAACGTTTGAAACCACGAAAAGCTTCCAAATGCGCGGCTATTGCGAGCCGACAAATCGCGATGCCTGCCAAACATGGTCTCGGAAAATAGGTCACAGGTCAAAGGTCAATTGGGTCAGGGTCACGAAATTTTCAGGGTAGGTATAAAGTTGATCAATGTGAGATTACAGAAAGTTTCGTCGCGATCGGCCGCTTTTTACGCGAGTTATTCGCGAAAAACCTTAGGGGGGTTTGTATATACCTATATCTCTATGGGGGGTTGCACCAACCCACCACCTGTGCCGCCGAGGGTCAAAATCCACTTGCCTACACTCGTCACTCGTCTCAGGGAACAATCATCTCCCACTAATTACCGCAAGTTTTTTTTTTTGGGGGGGGGGGCGTGAAACAGCCCCATTATATATTCTGTCAATATCTCCTGAAGTATTGCAAATATCGTTACCATTTTTTAGCATCACTCTGGGCATCAATTTTACGCCTTGTAGCCAAAAAAATCAATCCAGAGGCTTTGAAAGGCTGCCACAAACGACGTCAAAATGACGTCATGTTCTTCCATTTTTGGCCCGCAAGAAGTGCTTTGTGGGATTAGGTACCATGCCTATAGTTTTGAAGATATATACAATATTTTTCATAAGAAGGTGTAAAATGAATATGGCTGCAAAATGCCGGCTATCTCGGCTTAATAAAACGGGACTTTGGCCCCAAGGCCCATAAAAGATTAGATATAGTGCTCTATAAACATAAATATCTTTCAAAATGCTAATCAAAGTGGTAGATATATTATAGAACGTAATGTCGCCCATCGATATAGCCAATTTGAGATAGTCAGCTCCATTTTTGCAAACTTATGGCGAAAAGCTACTCTAATTTGATGACGTCAAATTTTCCTACTCAACTTTTACCCGTTCTAGACCATGTAGCGTAAAAGTAAGGCCACCATTGGATGCCCCGTAACTAGCTGCATCGAAACGTCTTTCTCATGCAAAAATAGATATTAGGAAATTTTACATTTTTGACCTGACCTTGACCTGACCTTGACCAGAAAGTCACCTAAACTGGCCCCAATATGGTCGCATAATCCACATCATTGAATTGGATGAAATGGAAAAATAACCATAAAACATACATCACTCGACCCCAGTAGCAATAATTTGGTTCATGTGGCCCAAAATGACCTGACCTGTGTGACCTGACCTGGTATCAGTGACCTCATTTGGCAAACTGCATACGAATAATGACGCATCGATGATTTTCGATAACATGCCTTTTACTGGATGTTATAACACATTGCATTAAAGACCTAAAACGGTAAAAATGCGGCCTTTGACCTGACCTGTCTGCCCCTAGGTCATTGAGATTGGGTCACATGGTAATTCTTAGGTGTGGCTATCAAACCATTCCTAAGTCATTATGAACTCTAAATGACCTCAGTGCTCAAGTGGAGGAAATAAAAAGGTGTATATAGGTAACGACACACGGTGAGCATAGCACACATTGTAGTTGTGATTAAAATCGATTCAAAATTGTAGAGTGCTTATCGCACAATAATCATGGTTTCAGTGCTATTTTGACGACGCGCTGGCTTTCGTGAATCGGTGAGCTGATCTGAAGTCACTGGGACTTGAAATTTACAGGACATGTGTCAAATAAACTACCCAAAGAGTGTTCCAAATTTAGTTTTGCTACGTGCCACCGATTCTGACACCGATTCAGCAGGCCCGTGTGTAACTAGTGTAGTAACCGTATTCCGATCGGCACAGTGCAGTGGCCGCCGATACTGACAGTAGGGCGGTGCCGGACAGCCCCCCTCCCCCCACCGACTGGTGCCGGTCAGCAACTGGCCGCCGCTGCCTCCCCTCCGACTGGGAGGGGCCGGCAGAGCGGGCTGCGAACATGCGTGTGTCGGCGTCACACCAGACGAAGGCCGAACCGGTACAGGGCGTGTATAAAACTGGGACGGACGCACAGCGCTGCACACTCCCCGGTCCCACCCCAATCACCAGCGGCGGCCGGCAGCAGCCCACGCAGCCCAGACAACATGAGATCATTCGTGAGTAACTCCAACAGGGCGACTATCCATTCCGAATTCACGTTAACGTTTTGTCATTGCCAATCTTGGTATTTGCATGGTACGATTTACCTACTGCGCTAATCATGTTGGGAGATTTGTTGGCCAGCAGGCTGTGCCCCGGTGTTCACCCAGAAAGCCAGGCATGCTTCGATTGAGCTGTATCGAGTGGTCCGCCATGAGTGACTGCCGCTAGTCGCAAAGTCCACTCTGAGCTCGTTTTCTTCCACTGCAGGTGGTGGCAGCAGCTCTGGTCGCGGTCGCTCTGGCGGCACCCGTGCCGGACCCAGAGTGCGACTGCGACGAGAATGGCGTGCCCATGACTGGGAACGCTGTCGAACTCAGGAGCTTCATTGGCGCACCCGCCTTTGCTGGCCTGAAGACCTACTCGGCGCTGGCTGCTCCGGCCGCTGTGGCCGCCCCCGCCTTCGCCCTGAGGGCCGCCGCGCCCGCCGCGGTAGCCATCCAGGCCCCGGCCATCACCTATACCGCCGCCGCTCCCGCCGTCATCAAGAAAAACATTGAAATTCCCATCACCAAGACGGTGCACTACGCCGACGAGCCGGTCGTCACCGGACACACGACCAACATCATCAAGCCCACCATCAACGCTCCGGCTATTTCCGCGCCGCGCACCCTGGTCGGCAAGAGCGTCACCAACCCGGCCACCGTCAGCGTGCGCAAGTACGCCGCCGAGGTCAAGACCGTCAACCCCGTGCCGGCGCCCTATGACGTGCCCTACGACGTGCCCCAGCCGTACGCCGTGCCCACGCCCGTGCACACGGCCCCCGTTGAGGTGAGGAAGCGCGTGTACGCCCCGACTGCCTACGCCGCTCCCGCCGTGGCCGTCGGTGCCGCCCCTGCCTACCCTGATGTGGCCGCCTCTGGCGCCGTGATCGCCAGCTCTGCCGCCCTGCCCGTCGGTGGCGCCCATGCCCCGGTGGCTGTGGGTGGCTTCCCCGCCGCTGCTGCCGTCGGTGCCCACCCTGCCGGCGTCGTGATCGGAGGCGCCCAACCTGCCGGCGCGGTGATCGGAGGCGCTCATCTGACCGGCGTTCCCGCCGCCGGCGTCGGTCTGCCCGCTCAGGCCCAGGGTGCTGTGGCCCTCAGGGCCGCTGCCTTCTCTCCGCTGAGTCTGGGTGCCATCGACCTGGACGGCCTCGATATCAGCACCTACGCTCTCGACCTCGAGGATTGCGACTGCGATGAATAAGCTGAGAATTGGGAACAGCTCTGCTCCCATTCACATGTGTTTCCTTTTTGTCGCGATCTAATGATGTCATAATCATGGCGGATGAGGCTGAGCCTGCCGACCACCGCGCTCAACTATCCCGAAGCGCAGTTTCCAAGAGCTGAGGTGATTGAGGGTTACATGTTTATCTGCTGACATGGCTGCCTCATGCAAGAGGATCTATGCGAACATCTGTTGTGTACGCAGTCCTCTTATATGAAGACAACTAAAAAAATACATGTTTATTTTATACATTCTGCGTATGATGGAAATGAGTTAATACCTAATCACTGACGGATCCAGAAATGGGTTCTTGGAAGGTGCGGGAGGAGATAACCCCCAAAAATTTCTCTGCATTCCATAAATTCTTCGGATTTCGGGTCCTCACGCACTGCTGTGCACTGCGTGCAGTGTAATACCATATTTTCTCAAGAAAAGTTGTTAACTTTTCCTTTTATTAAAAACACGCAAATTTTCGTCAATTTCAGGCATCGCGGGGAAGGTGGGAATTCACCCTGCAGTTTCCTCCCTGGATCAGCCAGTGCGGATAATGGCTTCAGTCTACAAAGGCACACTTGGTTGTCTGCTTAAGAGGTTCAGGATAGGTAGGTACTATGGGGATACTCGACCTCCGCCCGCTATGGTAGCAAATGCGTCTCAACCGACACCGCCTCGCAACAGAAAGCATCGACATACCTCCTTCGCTAGCTTTCTCGAACGTTTTACGCTACCTTCATCCATGAACTCTTTGTAAATAAGGTGTTGATATTCATATCACTTTTTAACGAAGATCACAGTCTCAGTTCGTTCAGAATGTTGTGGTGCACCACACCAGAGCTGTGCCAGTAACCACTGACTGCTCGAGGCCGGCGCTGGCTGCAGCTGCCGGCAGGGCGTCTCACTTGACAGCTCCTCTCCAAAGAACCTGTTCACCTCGCCCGCGCGCGTGTCAGTTGGTGAGCGCCCGTCGAGCTGGTGTCAGAGTGGGCGTTATAGCGCTGCGGAGCGCTGAAAAACTGACTAGCCTCCGTTGACTGGGGCGTGGCACTGTGCAGGTATGAGCCACTACCGTACACATCGCCAAGGCCACCTTGAGCCGGATGCGTGATGTGGGCGTGTGTTGCCGCGCTGCAGCGGTTCACATAATCCGTTATCTCGTTTGTTGATGCTTGTTTATGACAAGCGAGACTCTTTTTAGTTTTGGCTTAGTAAACGATGATCTCTGTTGGTTGGATCCTGCGCACTACGGCAAAGAAAAAAATCCTTTGGTAGGTACTCAATGACATAGGTCGACCCTGTTAACGCCCATGCAGCTTTGGGTCAGATAGCGATCACCCATGCATAAGGTCCGCTAAATAAACGAGAAACTCAACAACTCGTATGAGAATAATCCAGGGAGTAAAAATTGCCGAATGAACAGTCACCATCACTTGAATCAATGCTTTGCGAGAGTCAGCACGTATATTCAAAGCTTCTGCACTTAGCGAAAAGGTATATAGCGGAAATAGCACAACATAAACTCAATCACAAGACCCTGCAGTTCACGATCCACGAATATCGGGCGTCAGAGTTTGGGCTGCGACGGTCCCATCGCAAAGACCGCAGCAGCCAGCACCGGCGGTATTTATAATGGGAAAGCCATCGGTGCCGACGGCAGAGGCAGAGAAGGGCCGTCGACACCGACGACAAGGGAGAAAGAAGGGCCATCGGGGCTGACGGCAGGGCGGACAAGAACCGCCGATGCTGCCCACTGGGGATAATTTTGGCACGTGTACATCTCTTTGAAACGGTGAGTACCGTCGCAGCCGGTAGCTCAGCGAAGTAAGACTTAATTTGAGACAAGCGCTACTATTGCGGCTACTATTTTTTTTTTATATACATATTGGTTGAAAAGCAGCTAAGCATTTATGTGGCAGCTTTAATGTGAGCGTGCACCCACACACATGCATTTCTTGCCTTTAAAAATGGAAACATCCGATGGTAAATATTATCTACTATGCAATAATTGAGTTGAGTGGTTTACTGAATCCGTGAAACAGCTTGCAAAGGCACAACAAAGTGCAATAGACATCACATTTGCTGTAGATAAAAAAACAATCGCAAGCACATCGCAATCAGCTCCTGAACGGAAACATCGCAATCCTATCTCATGTCCGAGTCTCGCGAGGGTCGTATCCGTTGCAAATTCGTTTTATCTTCTTTTTTGGAAAGCATGGTGCGATGTATGTACAACTTACACATACCATCGCAGATAAATGCCGACATCTTTTCTTATGTTTTCTTAGAACGCGTAGTAACTTGTTAAAGGGACTATCCCACCTTTAACATGGGGTTTGAGTTGAGATAGCCAAGTTTGCGGCGAGGTTCAGAAACCACTATCTATCTAGGTTGCAACCCCCGCGGCCTCTTGGTGTTGAAGAAATTCGTTCCCTTCATTTGAAAATGGGCCTTGTACAAGGCCCTATCTTCAACATGGAGCGACCGTTAGTGTGACGTCACCTCGTTTAGTCATTCTGATTTAAATGGGTTTGTTCGTTGAAAAATCGCTTAAAACTTGGTCTGAACTTTGTTGTGGTGCCTACAGAGTAAAAAGAATCAGCTTTATGACAGTAATGTGGCCTGGGGAAGGAGGTAATTTTGGGCTGTGACGTCACATATTTGAAAGTTTGTGTTTGGAATATGGGAAGCCTAAGATGTTTAATGAAAAATAAATGCCAGAACCGTGTTCCTGGTCATCCAATCTATAAAGTCGGGCACAATTTAACTGGTTTTAACAACATTTTAGAAGGTGGGATAGTCCCTTTAAATGCTATTCAAAATCGTATGTCGGTAAAAAATGCGCAAAGACCTAAATTTTAAACATCGCTGTTCATCTCTTGTTCAATGAGTCTGTCAACTTCACTCCCCTTTTTCGGTTTATGCTTTTCAATCCAATCCTCTTGTATGCCTGCTTCTAAATACTCTTCATCTCCAGCTAATCCGTCGTCCTCCTCCCCTTCCTCTTCCTCTCTATCCTCCTCGATCTCCTCTGACTCTGTAAGAGGCACGCCACTACCCTCTTCCCGGCTTCCTTCCAGCTGTGTGTTTTCGGCTCCACCATTTCCCCACTCCTCCAGCTGCTGCTGTTCGTCCTGGGACGCCACTCCGTCGCCCTCGGCGCCCGCTCCCGACTCCATCACCATTTTCTGGCGACTGAGTCGGGACCGCCTCCCGCTCTTCCCGCTCGAGGTGCCCTTGCGGCGCCGCTTTCCTGAGCGCGGTTCCTCGTCGAGCAGCACGACCTCCTCGCGGGCGTCGTGGCCGGCGCGCGGGGCCGAGTAGCCGACGGGCACAGAGCCCGGCTTGGAGCGCCGGTACCGCAGGCGCGGCCGTAGGTGGTCGTCGATGAGGCCGAGCTCCTCACCCGCCCAGCGCACCAGATCGGCCGCCTGCTGCTGAACCATCTGCAGACACATGCTCACCAGCGCCATACCTGCCGGCCAAAAGCACGGTACCTACGTAAAACGTACAAAGGATACCCGAACATACACGTATTTAAACAAAATTCCATCAAGAGTAAATGAATAAACTTGTGCACAAACATATTACCAACTATTGTGAAGCATGCCTGCAGCATCTGTTTATCCATTGACGATGTGCACGAACGCTTCTATAAAATTTTCAATTCGAATCAGCATGCACAAGTGACTTTTGTACCTGTAAGCTGTAAGTTGTTTTATTCTTTTGCATACGAGTGTTGGAAGATGAGGTGAACTAACCGAGAAGGCAGTAGACGATGGCTGTTACCATTTGCCAGGCTCTCTCCGCATCATCCGGCTCCGTGAAGAAGCTGCACGCAACGATAGGTACATTTTGCTAGTCACTCTGGTTTTCATCTTATCAGGTGTTAGTATCGAGACAAGCGTTAGTTAGATAGAAATCATTTTCTACGTTTGAGCCTGGCGATTTTCTACAGCGATTCTGCCGTGCTGACAGCGGTTATCGAGGTTGTTCACCAACCTGTTGCCGGGCAGTAGATCGCCGAAGCCGATGGTGGTAAGCGTAACGAAGCTGAAGTAGCAGGCCGCGATGTACGTCCATCCCTCCCAGACGGAGAATATCTGGGCGCCGAGCAGCAGGTAGAGCAGCATCAGCACCATCAGGATCGCCACGGGCACCCGGACCTGGCGCCACACACGGTCAGTGGCGGTCAGTGCGGCGGCCGGCAGCGGAGGTGGATTCGGGTAACGAGGGAGTGTTGGGGTAACAGGGGTGGAAACGGACACAGAGCAGGATTACGTCTGTATCCTTGGCGATAGCAAAAACAGCGCGAGATTGAAAATCATGGATATTGAGCTCATGTTAAATATTTTCAGCAGCCTAACCCTGGTACTTTATTAGCCCTCGCCGGACCTATTGGTTTTCTACATACGCGCCGGCCGAGGGGGGGGGGCGGGTACGACCCCCCCCCCCCTCGCCGTTTCGCCCCTGGTGGAGCTAGCGCGTCGCGGAAAAAACGAGCGTGTGCGCCGTTACGAGACGCAGAGATTGGTACCCGATTTTAAGGTCCTAGGTCAACCGGTGACCTCTGAGGTCAGGTCAAGTGCCCCAGGGTACGGTTCAGTTTTTGGTGAATAACTTCGCAAAAAACGGCCGCAGAGCCGCGATTTTGGCAGCATCGTGTTCGCCTTGATCAGGCGCATCGAATGATATACTTTTTGTCCGGGTCAGGTCAACTTGGGGTGTTGACCTCAGGTCAAGGTCAGGTCAGCACCCCCAGGTCACGAAGTTGGTCGAAAGAGGTCATGTCGCATATCATTCGATTCGGCAGGTCTTCCTGAGTCCATTGGTGGCTTTCCCGACTCGCTAGCTCAATTTGATCGGGAGTTATTGACGAAAAACTAATATGACCTTGATGACGTCATAAATGACGTCACGGAAGGTCAACATTGCAAAAGTGACGCATCTAACCTTGCAAGGAGTGCATCAAACCACGATTCTGTGTGCTTGAGATAGTTGGAGATCGTTCCCGGCGCTAGAATAGCAGTTTGAATTTTTCCCCATTGACTTATAATGGTGAGGTCACGAAAATGACCTGACCTCATATGACCTCTAGGAAAAATCCGAGATATACAAGTTGTGAGACTCATAATGGATACTAGATCCTGCAAGTTTCATTTCCCTGTGACATCTCCTCTGGCAGTGAGGGCGTTGCGAAGTTGCGACATCTGAAGACCGTGCAGAGGTTCACTTATGACGTCATAGGTCAGTGACCTGACCTGACCCAAAAATGCGGTTGGTGTCAAAAGATGCGGCTTGGTTCAAAGGTCAGGTATGCCAAGTTTCAGCTCTCTATCGCCAGCGTGTTCGGAGCTATCGCGAAAAAACCCTATGGGGGGGCGGCACCCGCCCCCCCCCCCTCGGCCGGCGAGGGTTAGAGGGGAGCGGATGGAACCCCTTTGAATCCGCAACCACGTAGTTCCTTCAGTCAGTTGTTCTGGCGAGTGGCACAACCCGAGCGTTGCTTACTTGGTTCGTAGGCATGTATTCTTCTTGGCCAATTTCATCTTCCCAAACTCGTTTGGCCTTTTTTCCAAAGATGGCTTCCGACTGATATCGGCGGGTTCTGCACCAGGTACAGCAGACGCGGCTGCCGGGAGCAGAGGAACGTCATTCGAACACCGCCACTATACTGGTGAAAATCATTGCAATTTTGCACTACAATTTAACCTGTAGACCTGAGACAATCTAACCTGAGACAATTTAACCTAAAATCACTGGCCATGGGGTCTCCTGTCTCAATCACCCAGAAGAAAGAATCACGGGTCTCGCGGGCCAGCCCTCACCTATAGACGCGTCTGAAGCCGCTGGCCATGAGGTCGCCGATGCGGGCCAGGAAGAGGAGCATCAGCGGAATCCCGAGCGTAGCGTAGATGATGGTGAAGACCTGGCCGGCGTCCGTGTGTGGGAAGATATGGCCGTACCCCAGCGTGGTGACGATGCTGCACGTGAAGAGCAGCGCCTTGGGGAACGTCCAGTCGTAGTTCCAGGTCTGCACGTGGCCGTCGTAATGGTGCTCGCTCACAGCGTTGATGATCTGGGTCTCCATGATCTTCAGAGTGATGCGCATCTGAGCGCCGATTATGGGTGGTCAGGGGTCATAAATGGGAAACAGAGTCCAGCGATCTAATTTCAGTTGTGCTCTGTCAGAGAAAATTGATAAATGGCAATTGAAAAATGTGAAATATCGATTGCTTGATGAGTCAGATAAAATGAGAAAGAAATTAATAATGAATTAAGTGCTCAAACATTCGTGAAGCAGTCACCTTTTTGCTCCACTGTTTCTCTGTTAAGTTCTGGTGTTTCTCAAACCAGAATAGTCTGGCCACATAGCCCATGGTGTCGTCGATATCTTTGGCCCTGAGTCTCTTCACCAGGTAGCGGTGCTCCTCGTTGGGCAACTCGATCTCGATAAAGATGTAAGCACCTGTGGAACAAAGGAGAGGACCGCTTATTCGCACGGTCATGCTTGCGATTCAGGACTGAATTGACTACCACGCCATCGTTGGCCGGAGATGATGCTGGAATTTGTTCAACATCTCCTTGCGGATGCTTACCGATGATGGTGAAGATAGAGACGCATAGCAGCAGTCCGACGTGACCGGAGAGGGCCTTCAGGAACCGCTGCAGCAGCGACTTGGGCTGGTCGTACGAGAACGACGACTGCTGCAAGGAAACGAACGGGGACAGCCGATCGATCAACGCCCTGGGCCGTACGCGTAATACGCCACTGCATACCTAAGTTGCCCTTTGTGCAATTAATTTTTTACAACACTTCTCAAAAAGTAGATGCATGATGAAAAAATATTAACTGTAAATGTCATGTGAAAGAGTTAGATGTTTGCGTGCCTTAATGCAGCATTGCAGGGACCGGCCTTGCACGGCTATGTGCGCACGTTAAACTTTGGACTCTAAATTCTGCCATATAACTGGAATTGCGCGATCGGAGAATAGGGTCACCGCAACAAGCTTCGCTTAGCGGTGGCTCTGTCCTTGTGAATCCTTCCTAGCAAAAGATTCGGACTAAATTTGTTTTAAAAAAATGTAGATATGCGCATATTATTGCAAATATGTGTGTATGTAAGAATGAATTAATGCATGGGACCCAGGCGGGTGACCGGAAAGGCAAGGTTTAGTAGCACTGGGACATTCGTCCGAGTACTGTGCTACTGCATACGGACATATTTCGCTTGTCCGGAGTCACACCGGTATTGTATTAGGTAAATCATCGGATAATTGAATCATGTGCAATGTGCATATACAAACACTCGTGTATATTTGAGCTATACAACAGTATACAGTATTGAGCCATATGTAGGTACAGCATTGAGCCATACAAACAGTTAAAAAGGAAAGTTGTCTTTGTACGAACACTTACTGACGAACGGGGATTATATATTATTTAGGCTAGTAGAGTCGTCAAGCTGTAGAAAAATATATACGGTCCAACGAGGGAATGTCCAACTTTACCTTTGTGACAGTCAACGGGACGTTCATCGCGCTACTGGTGTGCTCAATCCGAACTGTCGAGCTACATGGTACAAAGTTTTCACCCCTGCGAAGTGCGAACATGACGCAAGGTCAGAACACATGTAATTGCGTCCCCAACTTCCCAGAAGCCATGCTAAAAGTTAGCCTGTGATAAGCGGAAGAAATATTTACCAAAATGAAATGGGAAAGCAATCAATCGGCAACCGGAAAACAAATGAAATGCATATTTTAATCCTCGCTCTGGCAGAACAATTTTCATAACGGGGCCTGGCAGAGGGGGGTCGATGCGACCCCCTGGCGTTTTGAAACTAAGCGTCGTATCGCTTCGCAACAATAACCAGTCGATTGCTCTCAACAAGTACTCGCGATTGATGGAATATTTTTTTTCACCCTAGGTCAATATTTGACCCAGTTATGTCGGATCAAAGGTCAAATTTCGCGGAACGGCTTTAATTTTGCAAATTATTTAGCAAATATTGGCGAATCTATGAAAGATAGCGACATGAAACTTTCACGACCGTGTTTCTCAACGAATTAGCAACAAAATGATGTATAGTTGACTGCATTTCAGTCATTACAGGCGTGACATAGTCCCCGGGAACACGGGAGGTCACACCCGCCGCCGGCGCAGACGGTCGTCAGCGGAAGTTCAATCTAGGTAATTGACCTTGGTTGACCTTAAAAAGGTCAAGGAACAGTTTTGAAGGCGTTTAGGTAAAAAAAAAAACGGTACTACAGGGTCGGATTCAGGAGCTAAAAAAACTAAACACTAAACACTAAACACTAACACTAAACACAACTCATATCACGGAGGTCAGCGTGTGAACATGCGAGGTCATTGACCTTGGTTGACCTTAGAAAGGTCAACATACAATGCAGAGATGCATGTCCTGACATAAATCACACGGAATTGTTTCGTTCTTGTCGATGAGGTCACGTCCAGTTACGCGGACTGTACGATTTTGTCAAAAACGGTCGGAGTTTGTGGGCCTATTATGACGACATAGCTCAGTGACCTGACATAACCCGAAAAAGTTTTTTTTTACTAAAAGCTGCGTAAATGATACCCCGGAGAATACGGATAATATCAGCACGATCGAATTAATAGTTCACCACCCATCGCAAAAAAACTCAGTTGGGGGGGGGGGGGGGGGTCGCATCGACCCCCTGCCAGGGAGAGGGTTAAAAAGCTTTTCATTTGTGGCCCATATGTTTGAGCATTGTTTGTCCTAGTTCCCCCTTCTAGGTGCTCCTTCATTCCAGCTATCTCGAAAATAAATCACCGTGGCCTTCCTATTGACCTTCCAAATTTGATAAATCAAAAGCAATTTTTTGAGTCGGGCAAAAATTATTCACCAAACCTTTCGTTCTTACTCTTCTTTTCCTCCTGCTTTCCCAGTTTTTCCATTCTATCTCTGTCCTCTCTCCCCTTCTCTCTTTCCCTTTTCCTCTATCTCTCCTCTCTCTTTCTCTCTATATTATCTGTCTCTCATTCTTGCACCACAGCGATAAGTGTAGCCTAACTTACTCATATCACGTAAAAGCTAATCCTATCGGCATCGCGCATCATTTTGTAGATCATATATACAGATATAGAGATAGATCATATATGTACAGGTAAATCACGCATCATATGCAGATGATGGCGCTCATCCTTACCTCCACCGGTAGTATGGCTTCTACAGCTCCCTCTCAGAATGTCCCACGGAAGCAGCGGCGGTGCGAAGGGTCACCCTCTCTCCCGGCTCGTGACGGCCATTCCCGGAGGGTGCCGAGTCGAGAAGTGCCGACCAGAGGGGCGCCAGAGACTGGCGGACAACATCGGTCTCCATGCCAGCGTTCGGAAAACACCAGCAGTGCGAGGCGGAGGCCTCACGTGCCGTGCCGCTCCGGCCGACACGGTGCAGATATGATCGACATTAAAACTTCACACCGCCGTTCACAAAGCGTGGTCGATAGATACAGACGGCGACGGATTACCGTGTCGCCGCTAAGAGGCCATTCATTTTGAATTATGATATGCATCGTTGATTGAAAACGCTGAAGGAATACTGGAGTCGGGGGTAGTGGGCCCCAGATCCTCAAAGCAGAATTTTCATGCTTTGAAGTTAAAATTCGACTGTATTCTGCAATTAGAATGATAAACAAACTGGATATGTACATTCGGAATTTAGTTATAAAAGTAGCTCTAAACAGTAGCTCTCTCAGTTAGCTAAAATGGCAGCTACATATATAGGTAGATTCCCTTAGTCGTATAATAACTGACGCCTTCTCATAATATAAGATCAGGAAAACAGACGTTAGTTTTTGGCATGGTCAATGGCGACAGGTTGACCACTTTCCATTTCCGTCTCCAGCCTAACTTGACCCATTGCTTAACGAACAGTAATCTGCCAAATTGGTAACCTCTCGTAAAAACGGCAGTTGTTCACCAAAAACCCAAAGTAGACATACATACAAAAAGTCGATTTTTAAGCCTGTCTAATCGTTTAATGCTTTATCCCGCGCATCGACGGTGGAGTGTGATGTCCGCCCCCCCCCCGATATCCGCTATCCATTTGTTACGAAAATCCAGCTTCACCCGTGTCAGGATGGTGGTCCGATCGTTAAACATCGAGGCGGGGGACGAAACGCTCTTAGCCCTCCTCTGACAGCTCCTCTGATTACTGATTTATTAATCTGTTATTTTCTGCCTGACGAGGAGTCGTAAAAGTCACAAACTCAGTTTGGATTATTTTAATACACGTCTATGTCTATGTCTATTTCAAGGTCTATGTCTAGGTCTATGCCTATGTCCATGACGTAGCCCCTGAGTTACGTAACTATATATATACGGTAAGGGCGTTCGAAAGAGCATAAAAAACACCACGAAGAAAGTAGATAAAGTGCCTATGAATTACGTAACTTTTGTCCAAATGTACAGTGGGATCATGAATCCCTAGTGATTACCGATTTACGTCTAGAAAGAAACGTTGAGTTTTTTTTTTCAAGGTAGTGGAATGAATTGCACTTTGTATTTTGCAATATTTATCCTTGGGATTCATCTGGGATCACGTAATAATGTGGTTTCACAGGTCAAGTAGTTTGTTTCTTTTGTTGGGTTAGGCTCTTTTGGTCTAATGAGGCCATTGCAAAGCTGGAGGGATGGTAGAAATTAGGGGGAGACATTGGTTTGGACGGACACCCTGGTGACCCATCGGGGCACCCGGCTTCGGGTCTGTTCCAGATGTTGAGCTACCAGCGTGGGATAAAGCAGCCCGTCCAGCCCGGAACGGGGTTGGAGGCGTAGAGGAGCAGGATTTGACTACCCTGAGGATGGAACGTTGTGGGCAACGACAGAATGGGTGACAGGTCATAGTATGCCAAGAAGCAGTTGAACTTGTTATGCTCTGACAATACATAGACCTCTGTATACCGAGGTCAGAGGTATGGAGAGGTGTATGGCACTATGATCACACTGTGCATCGAATTCAGCTCATTGTTCAATGGCTGCTGTCCTACTGATATGTCTTACTGCAATCTACTGTGTCTGCCCTCTGCTATGCTATCAGAATTCAGAACCTCGGATCCTGTGATGCTAAAAGCGTCATCTGTAACTAGAAGACTGTGCCCCTGCTGCCACCTACTGACGATACCACCTTCTCCCTACGCACTGTAAGAGTTGATACCATGTTACACATTCGTGGGCTACATGTTACACAAGTACGAGTAGCTACCTCCCATCCCCCCCAAAAACCCTCAATCTTTTAGCCTTCCCATTACTTGTTTAGGTGCTACTTGCTGGAGTTTGCTGCACAGTGCACTCAGTATCTGTGGACTCGGAATAAGTAACATGCCAAGTTGACCCGTGGACGGGTCAGCTCACAGGGATGGTTTGATTTCGAGCCGTACGACTCCAATTTCCTGAAGGCATCTTATCGAGATCTGGCTAGGTCGCTAATGGTAGCTAGCTTGGTTTACATAGGGTAGGGTGGGGTAATTTGAACATGTGGGGCAATTTGAACATAGTGTGAATAACACAAAATTACGGAAAATCCATAAGTCGCATGACAATAAGACCAATGAGAGAAATTATCGTAACTAAAAGGGCTATCATATAAACGGGGTTTAAAGTTTCAGGGAATGAAGATGTTGACGCACAGTGTAAAAAAATCAATTTCGCAAGGAAAAACGCCTAACAACACGTCATTGCAACTTCATTGCAGCGCAAAATCTTGCATTGCTAGCGCCTAATACGCAACGGCTTTTGTTGTATAATGACCTAGTCAGTGCCTTCAATCCAAGAAATTTGCTTTTGAACCCTGTTTTTTAAAATGGCAAAATAACTTTTAGCGTGGGGTAATTTGAACATAGTGTGAGAATTTGAATGAAGACAGGGATACCTCCGAAAAAAACAACGCTCCCAGTTTTTTTTTTGCCAATATTTTCGACCCAAGGCAGTAGCAGATAAGTGATGCCAGTTTAAGAAAATTTACGTCTAATATCCGTCTAATGTCCGGCATTTTTGTTGATTTTCCGTCCAAAAATGTTAAAGTCAACTATTTGTCCAAATATGTCCGAAAATTTATGCAGCTATCAACACTCAAAACCGTCATTTATATTGCTTATCATGTAATTTTACCAGCCGAAAAGTTTTCATTATATTGACAGCTTAACAAGCTTTCCATTCGCCAATTAATGCTATGCACGATTACTTTATAAAAAGCGCTGAAGTGTAGCAAGCCATCGTCCAATGTTGTCCAGTCTGCTACCTTTGTCCAACCAATTCCGAATTGGACATTGGACAAAATCAGAACTCCAAATGTCCAGGTTTCGATTGGCACCACTTTAACAGATGTAGTACGGTTGGGAGAGTTTTTATCGAACAAAAATGATAGACGTTCTGTTAATTGAAAAGGGGCGAATTCTGTCAACTGACCGGTGTGCAGCGTGCAGATATTGATACTCTGCAACTGTTATTTTTGCTGTTGTGTTGATTTTTCAAGTGAAGGTATGTTTAGAATTGTTCTGCCTATTTGTTTATGGGTCAAACAACATCGGTGCTGGCGAGACTATCGTTTTTATGACAGGTAAAGGCAGTATGTTCAAATTACCCCACGGTGGGGCAATTTGAACACACCGTGACTTGGTGGAGAAGTGAGGCTATGCTATTCAAGGTATGCTCGGCTCGTCCAAAAATGAGGCTTGCATGGTGAAAGCAAGTGACGCTTGCGCTACTGAAGCAGTTTTTCTTCATCCAGGGTTGAACTGGAATTTGGTACAATGGAGAAGACGTAAAAATATGTTCAAATTACCCCACACTACCCTAGTTTATTTAACTTGCAATATTCGCAAATTAATTGTTCATTATAGTTACATGACATCTTCGGTCACCACGCTCACCATTGTTGCAATGAATGGTGAAAATGGTAGATATTGTGATATAGTAAACGAATAACGCCACATAAAATTATTGGATCTCGTAGGGCGACAAAAATGATTGGAATGAAAGATAATTGTGAAAAAATTATGTTTCTTTTGGCTACCATAACGACAGTGATTGACTGAACGGTCGACCGGGTGACCCTGCAGATCGAGGATGAATAAGGAGAGGGCTGAAGATGCAGCAGGCGACCGGCGGACACAGGCAGCGCTAGCCTTCTCCCTATCGCAACTGGCGACTCGCAAATAGTCAAATTTTCACTTCGCTTGGTACTGCCTCTTGTCTGTTGATCTGTTCCGACTTCCAGCATTTTCTTTGAGAAGGCGTGAACATTTTATCGCGACGCTTACGCTCAAGTCCTTCAAATCATTTGTTGGATTGGTGAAAATGTCATGTATAGTGTCTTCTTTCCTTACATCCAATGGTTTATGTGCAAGTACGAACAGGTGACCTATCTACAAGGTCTGTGTTTTGGTGTTAGTACTGTGTGCCTACCCATTTCTTTTTGTACTTACCTAGGATGCTCATCTATTTGAAGATATTTGTTTTCATCGATAGTTTTAAAAGACAATGGATCATTTTTAAGTAATCCTTCTGTATCTTATTCGATAATTCTTCACATTTACTATTAAAAAAAGGATGCTTTACGATAATATATTGAACGTAATCGTTCCGCTTCATAAGGGGGATCTTGGAGCGTTTGCAAGCTTAGGTATCAGTATGCTCTTATTTGCGCGGGAACGTTTCGCATGCGTTGCATGCAACTCGTCAGGATGGTATGAGTCGATGCTGAGGATTGCTGGCTTGGTTGACTAGCGAAGCTTGCTTGAGCTCATTCGCTGAAGACATTTGACATCTGACACTGTCAGCTGTCATTGGTCACCTGTCGGCCACCGATGACCGCCGTGAACTACCATCTAACATGTCAGCTGTCATCTGACCCAGCCAGTCACCAATGACCACTGTCATCTGCCTGACACTGCCAGCCGCCATTAGCCACCAGCCAGACATGACCGTCGTCAGCTGTCACCTGACATTGCCAGCCGCCAATGACCGCCATCACCTGTCATCTGACACAACCAGAGCCGCCGATGACCGCCGTCAGCTGTCCGATGACGTCACATCCGAGCTGCGAATTGATTCGTGCGCGGCGCCGACGACGCGTGGGCGGCCGGCCGGGGGTCGTCGGCGGCGACGACGCGGCGCGGAGCCCGGCCGAGCGGCACGGCGCCCGCTCCAGTGTCGTCCTTCATCCCGGAGCGCTGCGGCCGGGCCGCCAGATCAGCGCCATGACCAGGCTGGACAGC